GGTGGGCATGGCCAACTCAACGTCACTCAGGTCGATGAGCGCTTCGCCTTAGCTGTCTGGGTGGGCATGGCCAACTCAACGTCACTCAGGTCGATGGGCGCTTCGCCTTAGCTGTTACAATGTCATAGAGAGACATTTTCTGTAAGCAGGGCAATAAAGATTAGGCTAGAAACAACACCAGAATGTTTCCTTCCTGACTTCCTTACAGGATTAGCTCTGTAAAGTGGAAAAAAAACAAAAGGAGATTTCTTCCAACAATCGGTTCTCCGAACAGCTTATAAAGTTAAGAACTGGTTCTCCCAAATAGATACAAACTGCTGAATCCCACCACTGCTTTGTGGGATTGCTTGGACCTGCTGCCTTTCAGATATGCTGGATTACAATTCTCAGAATCCCCAGGAATGCAATTGAGAAATGCAGTCTTGATGCATCTAGAGAGCTGTTCTACTGTGTCTAGTTCACTCTTAAAGAGAGCCCTGTGCATCAAACATTGCCTGCATGTAATTGGAGGCCTTACATACCGTAAACCCACGCAATGCAGATGACTTCAAAGATGGCAAGAAAGAGAAGGCAGGTGCCGCTGGCTGCATAATAATCGAACAGCTGGAAGATGTACATCCCACCCTGCAAGAACCACAAAGCAAAAGGGTCAGAACCCAAAGCAACAAACATTAAAACCATTTCATTTAATGACCACTTTAAGTTACGGCAGCACTGGAAAAAAAAACCATTTTTCACACTTAGAACCACTGAAGTATCCCCATGGTCACATGATCAAAATTGGGATGCTTGGCAATGAGGTCATATGCCAGCGTTCCAAATAGCATCCAAAATTAAATCAGAGTCCAAGGCAAAGTATTACTCAGAGTTCCAATTTATGAAGAGAGCCAGGTTGGCAGATCTGGGAAAACCCGAATCTGAAAGCTCCCCGGTTTTCCCCACCCAGTTGAAAGTTCAAGATCTTGCCCCCACACCCCCAAGTCCATCACAGGGTCCAATCTTTCACTGCCATGCTGGCAGTTCCACTCATCCAGTTCCAGTCAGGTGCAGAGGTGCGAAGACAAAGGATGACCTTGGATTTCTAGAAAGAATTTTGTTGTGGCTACATAGTATGTGACTCTTTACAATTCCCCCCTCCCCTCCCATTTTCCCACAATAGAAAATGCATAGCAGAACAATAGAAAGTGTGGCAGGCCAAAGACCCAAAAGAAAAGAAGGCAGCAAGCCTGACATTATATTTTTGACGTTTGCAGTGTTTCAGGGGTCATGTGATCCTTTTGCG